TTGGACAACGCAGTGGTGCTAAACTTTTTCAGCTCCAGAAAGAATTAAGTGATTTGGTGCAAAATGCTGCTGACATAGCAACCAACTACACCAAGATCAAGAAATTGTGGGATGAATTGGACAATATGGATATGTCCATTCTTTGCACCTGTGAAGCAAGAGGTAAGAATATCAAAGGAAAGCAAGATGAAAGACTGGTACAGTTCTTAATGGGACTAAACGACAGTTATTGCAGTGTCAGAGGTAACATTCTGATTATCTCGCATTTACCTATTATTTCTAATGCATATGCTCTCCTAATTCAAGAGGAAAAACAGAGGGAAATGAATACTACACCCAAATACCTAGGAGAATCTTCTTCATTCATAGTTACAAGGACTAACAATGGAGGACAAAGGCCATATAGTTCTGACCCTAAAGGACAAAGGGTCCAATTTGATAACAAGAAGTTTGGTTTGGTCTGCAAATATTGCAAAAAGTCTGGGCACACTATTGATAAGTGTTTCAAACTACATGGTTATCCAACAAATTTTTAATTTACTAGACAAAGGAGTTTTCAGAACACTGTGCAGGGGAATGTTGTTCAAGCTAATGAAGGACGTGGTGGTCAGTTCATGTATAATGCAGATGAGAAATTCAAGCCTCTCACTAAGGAAGAATTGGAACATGTGATGTTGCTACTGCATCAAGTGAAACCTGATAATCATTGCACTGTTTCCCTTGCCACACTGGTGATAATTGTGTTGGTAAAACACCTATTCCCTTTTCTTTTAACTCTAGCCATTTGAACACCTCAATAAGTGAGAATTCTTGGATCATAGACACAGGTGCAACCGAACACATGTGTTTTAATAAAGATCTCTTTCTTTCCGTTCTTGCTTTATCTAAGGCCATCTTTGTTACTCTACTAAATTCCCAGAAAGTCAGAGTCACTCATGCAGGTTCTGTCAAGTTATTCACTCAAATGATCATACATGATGTTTTATTTATCCCTAACTTCCATTACAATCTCTTGTCTGTTCATAAATTATGCCTTCAGTTCAATTACCGTCTTGTGTTTAATTCCACTCATTGTTTAATGCAGGCCCCTTCAACCCAAGGTCCTTGGTGATTCTCACAATGGTCTCTATGTGCTACAATCCTATCCTCCAGTGGTGTCCAAGTCTGTCAAGTCTTGTACTGCTTATCTTAATTATGTTTTACAATCAAAAGACAATTTGCCATGTAGTTTGTCTTCTGTTTCTTTTTCTGATGTAAACAGTAGGTTGTGGCACATTAGGCTAGGCCACATGCCCTTATCTAATATGAAAAACATCAATGAAATTCCTACTCTTCTCTGTTCTAAATTCAATGTTCCTTGTGAAATTATTCCTCTGGCTAAGCAAGTTAAGCTTCCATTTCCAAATAGTACTATATCTTCTAAGAATATTTTTGATCTAATTCATATTGATACTTGGGGACCTTATAAGAAGCCCACTTATGATGGTTACAAATACTTTATTACTATAATAGATGACTATGGTAGAGGGACTTGGACTTACTTATTAACTACCAAAAGCAATGTCTTTCCAGTTTTAAAATCTTTTCTCTTCATGATTGAAAGACAATTCAATAAAAAGATCAAAGTGATTAGATCAGACAATGCTTGGGAGTTGGGTAGTGGTTCTGAGTCATGTAATTTTATTGCTTCTCAAGGAATCCTTCATCAAAGATCTTGTGTAGGTACACCATAACAAAATGGTGTAGTCGAAAGAAAATATAGGCATTTGTTGGAAGTATCTAGAGCTTTATTATTTCAAGCTAAGCTCCCTCACAAATTCTGGGGAGATTGTCTCATGATAGCCACTTTTTTTATTAACAGATGTCCTACCAAAATACTTCACTTCAAAACTCCTTTTGAAATATTATTTAGGATTAAACCAGATTATTCAATTCTTAAGCGTTTTGGTTGTCTCAGTTTTGCCTCCACCCTTTCCCAAGGAAGGTCTAAATTGGATCCTCGGGTAGAAGCTTGTTTGTTTTTAGGGTACCCTTTTGGTCATAAGGGATATATACTACTTAGTCTTGTATCTCAGAAAATTTTTGTGTCTAGGAATGTTGTTTTTCATGAGAATATTTTTCCCTTTTCCAATACAATCAAGGAACCACTTATATTCCCTGCTATATCTGCTCCTACTCTTTTCATTGAAACAGAAAGTATTCCCTCATCTTTGTCTAACCATGACCTTTCTCATGACTCTCCTCATCATGTTGCTCCTAATCCTGAATACATTCCTCATGTAGCTCCTGCAGCTATTCCTTCTCCTACTGCTTTACCGTCTCTTAATCCCACTGTTTTGCGAAGGTCTACCAAAGCTGTTAAAACTCCAACTTATTTGGAAAACTATGTATGTAACACAGTCCCTTTAGCCCCTGTTTCATCAGATTGCTTTCTCTTCCCAGTGTCTCCTCCTTCTCTCTCTTTTGCAAGACTCTCTTCTTCCAATCAACAACTGCTCAACTCTCTTTCCCACATCCAAGAACCAACTAGTTATTCTCAGGTTGTACTCCATCCAGGATGGAAAGCCGCTATGGCAAAGGAAATTGAGGCTTTGGTTATCAATGACACTTGGAATGTGGTTGACTTACCTCCCGGCAAGAAAGCACTACCTTGCAAATAGGTCTATAAAGTGAAGTTGAAATCTGATGGGACTTGAAAGCAAGATTAGTTATAAGGGGAGATATACAAAGGGAAGGTATTGATTTCAATGAGACTTTTAGTCCGGTTGTCAAGATGACAACAATTCGATGTCTTTTATCAGTGGCTGTCAAGAAAGATTGGGGTTTGTTTCAACTCGATGTGAATAATGCTTTCCTCCACGGTGATTTAGAGGAGGATGTGTTTATGAAGTTTCCCCCTGGATTGGAGGGTTACAAGCATTCTTTCAATGATTATTCTCTATTTTCAAAATGAAATGGATCTAATATCACCTTATTAGCAGTTTATGTTGACGACATTGTTATAACAGGTAATGATGTTGAGGATATTCATGTTATCAAAGTTTTTTTGGATGATGAATTCAAAATCAAGGACTTTGGACCCTTACATTATTTTTTGGGCATCGAAGTGCTTCGTGAATCTCAAGGTTTGATTTTCACTCAGCGTAAATTCGCTATGGAATTATTGACAGAATTTTCTTGTCTTGATCTTCGATCAGTGTCATCTCCTTTGGACCCTTCTTACAATCTCAAGGATGCGGAAGGACCTTTATTGTCTGATCCTACTCTTTATCGAAGACTTATAGGAAAGTTGAATTTTTTAACTCACACTCGTCCCGACTTATCTTTCTCTGTGCAGCATTTAAGTCAGTTTATGCAACAGCCACGCCAACCTCATTATGATGTTGTAATTCATGTGTTGCGCTATGTTCTTTTGGACCCTGGACTTGGGCTATTCTTATCTTCCACACCTTCATATGAATTGTTAGCTTTATGAGACGCAGATTGGGCCACTTGTCCTGAAAGTCGACGCTCCATCAGTGGGTTTTTCGTTAGCTTTGGGGATTGTCCAATTTCCTAGAAATCCAAAAAGCAGCCTTCTGTTTCTCTTTCATCCGCAGAAGCAGAGTATCGATCCATGCGTCGCGTAGTCGCAGAGATCACTTGGCTTGTCCGATTACTTGACGATCTTTCTGTTTGACCACAACTACCCATTTCTCTCCATAGTGACAGCCAAGCTGCCATTCACATTGCAAAAAATCCTGTTTTTTCACGAAAGGACGAAACATGTTGACATTGATTGTCATTTTGTCCACCAACAATTTTTGGCCGGCTTAATTTCCCTCTCGTACATCCCCTCACAATCTCAAATAGCTGATCTTTTTACCAAATCCCTTCCTGGTCCTTCTCATCGGCAACTTTTGGGCAAGTTGGGTTTGCTTACAGCACCCTCCAACTTGAAGGGGGGTGTTGGAAAGTTTGTTGATCAAGAAAAAAAATGGATTGAGCTAATTAATTTGAATTATGCCAGGTGTCCAACTTGATGAGTCACAAGGAAGCTTCAAGAAGATACCAATCTTTTTGTTTAGTTTTGTATAGGAATATTATTTTGCACAGCTCATTAGTTTGTTATACAACAACAAATAAATAGAGGACAGGTGTACATATTAGTTAGAATTTTTTCTATATATTGAATAGTGTATAGCATAGGTAAAGGACACACAGAATACATGCAGAAATATTTCTTCCATATCTCTCTGGTTTTCTTTTTAATTTTAACATCAAACAATAAAAAAAATATTACATAAATTGAGTCTGAGAGAGTAATTATTCTTTTGAGGCTCTTAATTTCAAGCTGATGAGTATAAAGAAAATGAAAAAAAGAAATCTTATACAGAGATCTGTGTTTGTGCTTTGCATGTATCTTGAAGTCAATACTCTCACCCAATCGAAAACTCTCTTTATCGAAAAATTAAATTATATATATTAAAATTGTATTTCATATAGATCAAAAAATTATTTTTATAGTTAGGCTTAGGCCATTTTATTTGGTATTGGAACGAGTGGATCTTGACTGGATCACAAATATTTTCACCACCATCTATTCAAGTTAGTATTTGGGTAGATAGACTGTTTTTGGATAAGATTAACTTACAAAAAATTGAGTGATTTACAAAATACAAGAATAAGATAAATTATTTTACTACATAATTATTCAATTAAATTGAGTGATCATCTGATCAATTTACTCGAATATAATCATTTAAAATATGTCGCATACATATATTGTTCTAGATGGAAAGTAGTGGCTGCGCGCACTTGCTGCTAATGTAGTGGATTTCCATTAACATCAAGTTGAGACCAATTAAAAATTCTTTCATTATATATATAAAGCAAATTTTGCATAACAAAATTAGTATAGGTCTCAGATAGGATATCTCTAGTAACCTACAATCATTTTTTTTTTTTGGTTGCAAAAAACTAGAGCATTTTCTATCCCAAATAAAAAACAAAAAAAAAAGAAAGAGAGAGAAGATGGAGAAAATTGTTTGTGGTGCTTTAACTATGGCAATTTTGCTACAAGTTACAATAGCACAAACAGATCATATAGTTGGGGATAGCTTTGGTTGGTCTATACCAATTAATGGCGCTGCAGCTTACACAATGTGGGCTGATGCAAATACAATCAAAATTGGTGACACCTTAGGTACTCTTTCTGTTTCAATTCGTTTGATTTTATTTTTTTGTATCTGATGATTTAAAATAAAAGATATTATAAAAATATTCTTTAATTGAATGGTGTTAAAACATGTAGGTGGAAAGTTAGAATTGAAAAATTACTAAAACGGGAAAGAATTCATTTCGAAATGAACAAAAAAAAATAGGTCAAACACATTTAAAGTAAATAAACAAAATCGTCCCTTCTTTTGATTTAAAACTAGTTTTGACGCACGTGCGTTGCACGTGAAAATCAAATCATGTACCACACTATTTTAAAAAATATTATGAATATTGCTAAATAAAAAAATAGTCACTATTAAAATCTCTTAGTTACACCTCTTAAATATATTTTCTACTCCCTTCCCCATAGTGCATTACTTTGTTATTATTGTTTTGTAGGTGTTTTTACTTTTAATATAATATAAATAAATATTGATATAAAATATAAAAGATATACTTAATTGGATGTTTTAGCTGGAGTATTAGATTAATTTAACATTCATATTATGGATTGTTCTAATTTTATTGAACTTTGAGATTATCAACGTTTGTAAATCAAACTTGAGGTTTTAAGAAGAGACGAATAGAAAACATAAAAACCCGTAGTTTAAAAATGTGAGAAAACCCCTCCATTTATAGTTTAAAATGTGTAGTATTAGTATGTGTGTATTGTTTCTTATCATAGAAATATAGAAGATATACTAATTGAGTGTTTTAAGAACAATAATAATAATATTTATATTTTTTTTAAATGTAGTTTAAAATTTTATGAAGCCCCTCTTTTTACAGCCAACAAAGGATAGTGTACGAAAAACTGATTGTGGTGTCTTATAAAAAATAAGTCACAACCCTTTAGAAAAGTCACAACCCTTCATAAAGGTCAAAACTTATCGGAAAAGTCATAACTCTTTGGAAAAGTTGCAACCCTTCGAAAAAGTCACAACTCTTCGGAGTTGCAACCCTTCGGAAAAGTCACAACTCTTCGAAAAAGTCGCAACCCTATAGAATAGTCACAACCCTTTAAAAAAGTCACAACTCATCAGAAAAGTTATAACTCTTCGAAAATGTCACAACCCTTCAATGTGAAAAATTGTCTGCCTTTAATATAATATAATATAATACACATAAATAAATATAATACAATATAAGATATAGAATATATACTACATTTGGTGTTTTAAGTTGGGGGTATTATAATAATTTAACTTTTAAGTTATTAGTTTATTCTTTTAAGGTAGTATAGATTAAAAAAAAAAGATAGATATAGATTGGTCTAATTTTAATTTGATATGAAATTTTAAAAAATAAAGAAAACTTTTAATCTAAGGATCATATGTAGAATATATAAAAATGTCTTTTAACTTTGTAGTCTTAAAGATGCGTCCTCACCCCCAAGAAAAAAGAACATTCTATATTAAACTGAATAAAAATAAAAGTACAACAAATAAATTGAGAACGAAAGAGTACTTATTAAATGTAGTTTGGATGCTTCAAACAACTTTTTGATCAAATACTTTTTCTCCAATAGTTTAGACTTTTCAGATTCTGAACACGAAGTTGTAGTTTGTGCAACCGAAAATCATTAAACTTCTTGTCAAGTAAGAGTTGCTACAAAAGTATATTTTATGGCTATGAAAATGAGTGCATATTAATTATCACGATTATCTTCTTGTTTGAAGTTGAGTTATTTCATTCTCCTTGTTGCATCAATTTTTATTGATCTATCTAATTTACCTACAAAAAAATATTGTAATTGCATAATCGAACAACTCTCACAATCTTCCTTATTATAAGTAGAAGAATAGAAAACTTAACAAAATTCGTAGTTCAAAAGTGTGAGAAACCCCCTCTATTTATAGACAACAAAGGATAGTATGAAAAGATGCTTATCGTATCTTTTCAAATAAGTCACAACCTTTCGTAAATGTCATAACTCATCGAAAAAGTCATAACTCTATAAAAGTCACAACCTTTCGGAAAAGTCACTACCCATCAATGTGAAAAGGTGTTTGCTTTTAATATAATATAGTGTATATAAATATAAATATTAATTATAGAATATATAATAAATTGGGTGTTTTAAGTTGAGGGTATTATAGTAATTTAACATTCATGTTAGGAGTTCATGCTTTTAAGGTAGTATAGATTAATGATCACTTATGCTTTAGTTTTTTTTATTTTTGGTTTCTCACATGGGTGTTCGGTACCCACATTGGAATCCAACTAAATCCAAATTCACACCGAAAAGTTTCACATTGGGAGGTAGAACGTTCCTAACAAAGGCGACTTCATACCCAAGAGGACTCGAGCCCGAAACCTCTTGATTAAAGATGAAGTAGTGCTTAGCACTCCACCAAAAAGTTACTTTTGTTTCTCATGTATTAGAATGGTGCTAAGTTTTTGTTAATTCACTTAACAAATCACTTATTTCAAAAAATGATATATTCGACCACTTTTTAATAATGTGACATCTAATTTTCTAAGCCAAAGTATTAAAACTCAATCCATTTAAACAAAAAATCTCGTATCTGATTCTTACTAGACCCGTAAAAATTCGTACTAGACCCGTATATACTTAACAAATGTCTAGAAATTCCTTATATGGTTAAAAAAAAAAACTCTTTTAATATTAAAACTATAAACTCTTTGAATAAAAACGCTTAAATAGGAAGAGGTTAGAATCACCATTTGCGATTGTTTCTTCACAAAAAAGATATGAATAATTGATACTATAATATACTACCTCGGTGCATTTTTAATTGTCATAGTTTCCTTTTTTAGAGTTAAACGATAAAAACTTTCACTAATATTTTGCGATGTATTTTTTCATCATATTGATATACAAAAAATTGCAATTTATAGTATTTTTCGTATAATTTTTTAATATCTAAATTTTTTTGTTTAAAATATCAAATTAATGTAATCTAATTTAACTTTTGAAAAACGCAACATGACATTTAAAAGTGGATCATGGGAGTAGTAATTAAACTGTTATGGACGCTCCACATGTTGATTTGCTTATTTTTATGCAACAGTTAAGAAATCAATACTTTGTATAAATATTCATTTTCCTTTACCCTTAAACTATCATGCTTGAAATATTTGGTTTATACATTCTAATCTTACAATTTTTCGATGAAAAGTATTCAAACGTGATATATACATAATACATGCCATTTCTTGTTTTTTATTTTTTCGTTTCGAATTCTCGACCAGTTTTCAAATTTACGGAAGGAAACCATGACGTACAAGAAGTATCAAGAAGTTCATATGAAGAATGCAGTACACAAAATTCTATAGGTGAAGCAATCAAGAAAGGGCCTGCAAAAATCACTATGCAAACTCTTGGTGATCATTATTACATTTGCACAGTTGGTGAGCACTGTTTAGCTGGTCAAAAAATGGCAATTAAAGTTTCAAGCACTAATTCCTCAGCCTCAAATACTCCGGCAGACACCACTCCACCTCCTCCATCTTCCTCAACTGTCGTGTTTGCGAGTTTTCTGCTAAGTTTATCTTCAATTGTACTCGCCATTTTTCTCTAAGCAGATTTATATAGGTTTATGCTCAACCTGATGACAATATGGTATAGTACACATAATTTTGATTGATCAGTTTGGGTTAAATTCTACTATTTTGAAGATTTTTGCCAAATCTTCTGCACTACTTGTAATACTAATTAAGTGTGTAATAATTTAGAGACAAAGATATATATATATATATACTGATTATATTCAATCTTGAATCAACTGTCTGTAATTTGAAATTAGATACATGAACACCACGAGTTAATATCTCAAATGGTCACTGATCAATTTTTATAATTTATCTAACAAAGGCATTAGACTTTGTTTTGTATCAATAAAATCACTCAATTTAGGCATTTGCATTGATAAAATCACTCAACTAAATTTATCATTAAAAAAAATTGACATGATAAAATAAATTAGTTTTTATGTCATATTCATAATTAAAATAATAAATAAATGATCCAAAATTAGTATTTAAATATATTTCAATCAAAATAGAGTAGTCAAAGTTTTAACTTCTAAATATTTTATTTATACTAATACTTGGTTGTATATTTGTTAAGTAGTATTTTATATATATGTTATTTATGTAACTATATACTTCGGTATGGTAATTTGGTATTTCGGTATGTTGTTTCTAAATATTAGATATCGTATCGAATACCAAAAAATTTAAAATATATATCATATACCATACCAAATATCATAATACCAAAATCACGATATCAAAATTTTTGATATGATTTAGTAATTCGACATATACCATACTATGACTACTCCTAACTGGGCATGTCAATTTGCTTATAACAAATTTTAATGTATGGAATATAACCAACCACAAATAAAATATAAGAAACATAATTTTATTGATAAACAATGTGGGTGCAATTGTGTTTGTTCTCTCTGAATCTTTTCTATAATTTGAGAATTTTTAATAGCGTATTTCTCTATGTCTACAATATAATCAGGAAAAATATCTGAGCATTTAAATCTCAGTCTTTAGACTTTAGGTGATAATTGAATTAGTTGATTTTAAGAGGAAGATTTTTTGGGAGTTGGAAGATTCATGCTAAAGTGAGAAAATGAAGTGATTTGTCTTGTTTTGGGGTTAAGAGATATTTTATTTAAGAGGAAAAAAAAAAGTTTGTATTTTGTGTGGTTGCCAATTTATACCTTACAATATGTTATCCTTCTTTTATTTATTTGGAACAATTTCTATCTTTCTCATCCTACAGCTTCCAAAATGGCTGCAGCATCAACAAGTCCCTCTTTATTTTCTGCAACTCGTTCTGCTTCTAATACTAATGCAAGTCCCTCTGTTTCAAATATATATGGTAAGATACATAATTTTTGTACCAATTTTTTTCTGTCTCAACTTTTTTCAACCATTATTATAGAACTTTCTTGATATGTGTTAAGGGGTGCGTTGGAGCAACAACAAAGTTGTCTCTGTGTGAACTGTAGGTCACGGGTTTGATCCGTGAGAACAATCACTAATACTTGCACTTAGGGTAGGCTCATGTCTACATCACATCTCTTGAGCCGGATGCAGCCCTTCCCCGAACTCTGCTAATGCGAGATGCTTTGTGCACCTTGTTGCCTTGTCCTTTTTTTTTTTCTTGATCTGCATATGTTGTAATTTGGATAATTTTTTGAAGATCACTTTACCTGTTATTACAATCCTAATAAAAACCTAGGATATTATGTATGCATGGACTCTTCTTTTGTATTGGAATGAATAAGAACCAAAATATAGTACAATGAGTACAGAGGATTCATATAGTCAATCCCAACGACTTAGGGATTATGGCATAGTTTAATTGATTCCCTGATATAAGTTTAATTTGCCTAATGATTTTGACCTAACACACAAATTAGTCGGGGTCCAAATCGGTACGGACGCTCAGGGTGGGAAACCTACCAAAAGAAAAAGAACTCAGCCAAATTCTCTTTGAGCACTTCCATATCTTTTAAGATGTCTATCTTCTATAATACTTGTGTTAATGCCATTTCATTAGCATTATTTTCATTTGTCTAATGTACCTGTATATTCAAAATGCAGCTACAAGTTTTATGGGCACGCACATGAGAAGATATCATCCAGCTACAAGGAAACTAGTAAGGATTAGTAAGGGTATAGTTGCTGCGGCCGTTGCAACTTCCCCTGCAGAGGAAATCAAAGAGTAAGCTCCTCTGTTCTCTTGTCTAATGAGACATACTGAATTTTGTTAGCATCAAATTGGATGAAGTAACTTAATTAATATATGTTGAAAGTGTAACGAAAGTAATTGCTCTATAACTTTCTGTATGCATAGAAAGTTAGCATATTATTCTATCTATGTATACATGAGATAGAACTATGGAAGTTTAACAATCGCCAACGTTCGTGTTACAGATATGCTCTTCCTTCATGGGCTAAATTTGACCTTGGAAAATCACCAGTATATTGGAAAACAATGAATGGTCTTCCCCCAACTGCAGTATGTTCAAATATCCGAATAAATGAATATATCTTTTTTAACATAATGTTTCTGAATGCCTATTAATCGAGGCCCTAAATGTTGCTTATTTTCTTTTTGACAGGGAGAGAGACTGAAGCTTTTTTACAATCCAGCTGCAAACAATATGGTTCCTAATGAAGAATTTGGAATCGCTTTTAATGGTAAGTTCATGTCTATTTCAATTCAACAGGTTTCGTTTCTATTTGCAATTTTCTTCATTCTGCTACACACTCTAAAATGCTGAATTCTTGAGACTCGAATTCAGGAGGTTTCAACCAGCCTATCATGTGCGGTGGTGAACCTAGGATAATGCTCCAGAAAATCAGAGGAAAAGCCGATCCTCCTATTTATACGATTCAGTTATGTATTCCCAAGCATGGTGAGTTTTAAACTTTTATTTAAGTTGCATTTTAGAAGAATAAATCTCTGTCTCCTATTTTTACATTGTATTTATTTGTTTGCAGCTCTTAGTTTGATCTTCTCGTTCACAAATGGAACCGAATGGGATGGTCCCTATAGACTACAATTTCAAGTCCCCAAGGCTTGGAGAAATAAACCAACTGAATTCTTCACTGAGGTAGCAAACATTCAGTTCTAGTCTTTTAGTTAACAAACTGAGCTACTTGTATTATGAACGAGTTTGACCTCTTTATATGACACTGATTGCCTAAAATTTGGTTCTTGAATTGTGCTGCAAGCGCGATGAATTACAATGGACTTATTGTTAGAGTCCCACATCGTTTGTGGGAATGGAATTCGGTCTCTTTATTTCTTTATCACTTATCGATGTTACTCTTATGCAATAGGAAAAAATATATATGAACAAGGTATAGTCCTTAGTGGTTCACAAGGGATTCCTTGTTACCGTCATGTACTAGGGTGTCAGAGCCTTAGCTAGTGATGCTATCGGCCACTGGACTTTTGCCATCTAGGGTGCAATATTCGTACTGCATAGCATAGTTGTATGATGCTTGTATTGCTCTATAAAACTTAATTAGCATTGTAAATCTTTTGAAGAGTGATGTGTCATCATTATTGAGGAATTATTTTGTTATGCAGGGTCTTGCACGGGAGTTGAGCCAGGATGGTGCCTGTGACAGGGCAATCTTCCCGGACTCGAGTATCTTGATCACAAGATGTGCTATGGTTGGTAACTTGAATGTGGACGGAGTAAGTAGAATCATCTTTCTCTATCTTTCTATTTCAAGTTTCATTTCAAAGCTAGTATGTATTTGATTAGAGGGGACACGATTCTAATGCAGGGTGATCGTTGCAATCTTGATCTAGTACCGGGATGCATTGATCCAAATTCTCCCGAGTATAATCCACTAGCCAATGTAGATGATGGATCTTGTCCACCATATTCAGATTCTGAGGAATAACTTTCAGTACATATATACGACTGCTGTTCATAGCTTAGTGTTATCGATGGAAGTCTTTCACACGTGTGCCGATTTGATTTCCACTACTTACCTTTGTGATAAAGAAAATGTCTAGAATTACTAAAAGGAAACACTTGAATCTCCAACCTTATACTGTGAAGTATCTAGTTATGGTGTCTCTACTGGTTGGTTTGTATACAACTTTGATACTTCACTTTTGGCATGCAGCAAAAACAAGCTCTTGATAAAACTCTGTATTTTTCAATATTTACACCTAGTTCAAAGTGAAAGCAATGAGTTCAATTTCAACATTCTAGATCCAAAAACCATAATAAAATTACTGTTATTACAATTTGCTGCAATAATCCATCGATGTAAAAATTAAATAATAGAAACGATTGTAATTTATTATTCTTTAATACAATTTTCTCATATTCTATGAATAATTTCTTTAGTAAGAATGCATTTTTCCTATTCCTTTCCAAATTACAAAAATCTCTTAAATTTGGTTGAATTCGGATACATACCAAAACATCCCGATACATCACATTTCGGTTTCGGATACATCTCTCAACGTCTCGATACATCGCGTCTCTGTTTCGGATATATCACTCAACGTTCTGATACATCGCGTCTCTGTTTCAGATACATCACTCAATGTCCTAATACATCGTGTACGTCCGGATACATAGTGTAAAGTGATGTATCTGACTGATACATCGCGTAAAATGATGTATCCGAATGATACATCGTGTAAAGTGATGTATCCAAGAATATGAGAGAGTAGGGTACATCCCAAAACGTCCTAATACATCGCGTCCTGGTTTCGGATACATCCCTCAACGTCCTGATACATCACCTCTTGGTTTTCGATACATCACTCAACGTACCGGTACATCGCGTATGTCCCGATATATCGGGTAAAGTGATGTATCTAAGAATAGGAGAGAGTAGGAATTTTTGTAATTTTTTCAAACGGTATGAAATTTTAGAGAATATGGTAAAATAAGTTGTGTATTTAGATAATTTCCCCCTTTTTATATATAAAATATAAAAACTTGTAAATTTTAAAAGAATCCAAAAATTAGATTATTATTTTTCTCAAAATCACTTGTTCTCTTTCTTTCTTTTTTTAGAATTTAGGATCTTGGGTTTTTGCCAATTGATTTTCGGCCAAAACTTGACAAGTTTTATGGACAAATAAATTTTGCCAAATTTTCTCCCAAAAAACC